AAACGAACGGGGCCTGTAAGCCCTAAGTTTTAGGCTTTTAGGCTGAATGTCCGGGACGGGCCCTGCAGGGCCCGTGTGGCTACGCAGTATGCCACACTGGGCCTCTTGGGTAGGTGTGTGGTCGGTCACGGCCATTCCTGCGAGGAGTGCCGTTGCCATTTCAAGGAGGAGCTGCCACCGTTCTCAAGTACCGACCCGTGCTGCCCTGTGAGGGAGGAGCTGCCGCCATCGTCCGGTGAGTATCACCGGCCTAGACCTCCCCTACATTATCCTCACTGCCTCCTTCTCCTCCTCCTCCTCTCCGCCCGCTCGTCCTACTCCTCCTCCCCTTCCTTGTCCTCCATCTCTCCTCCTCGTCCTCCGTTCCCGTTGTCCTTGTCCTCCTCCTCCTCCTCTCCCACAGGTGTCGAATCTGTCGAGTTTTTTTTTTTTTTTGACCTTTTCTCGATTTGTGCATATCATCCTTGCACAGAGGTCGTGCTAATCTTCTCTGTATCGTTCCCATCCCTCCGTTTCGTCTCCTCCTCCAGGTCGTCCTCCTCCCCTTCCTCGTCGCCCTCGTCGTTCACGACCTCCTCCTCTCCCACCCAGGTAATGTACTAATGAATCTATCGAGCTTTTTTTTTTNTCCTCCTCCCCTTCCTCGTCGCCCTCGTCGTTCACGACCTCCTCCTCTCCCACCCAGGTAATGTACTAATGAATCTATCGAGCTTTTTTTTTTTTTCAACCTTTTCTCGATTTGTGCGTGTCATCCTTGCGCAGAGGTCGTGCTAATCTTCTCTGTATCGTTCCCAAAGATTGAGAACGACACAGAGAAGATTAGCATGACCTCTGCGCAAGGATGACACGCACAAATCGAGAAAAGGTTGAAAAAAAAAAAAAAGCTCACGAAACGGAGGGATGATTGGGATCGATACAGAGAAGATTAGCACGACCTCTGCGCAAGGATGACACGGGCTCGTCCTCCTCCACCTCCCCTTCATCTGTGTGCTTCTCCTCCTCCTTCCGCTCGTCCTCCTCCTCCCCTTCCTCGCCGTCCACCTCCTCCTCCTCCTCTCGCACCTAGGTATCAAAATTTCGAAAACAATCCAATCTATCAAGCTTTTTTTTTTTTTTTTTTTTGACCTTTTCTCGAATCGTGTGTCATCCTTGCGTCAGGGTCATGCTAATCATCTGTGTCGTTCCCATTGCGCTGCGGGCCAGGGAGACGGGGGGCATGGGTGAATGGCAGGGAAGAAGGTGGAAGCAGGAGGCAGCATCGGTGAGCACGTCCTGGCGAGGGGGACGGTGGCGGGAAGCGTACCGCGGAGGTAGACATTGCGCCTGCTCCGAAACGGGGGAGAGGACGACCGGGCAACAAGGAGAAGGCAGAAAGAAAAGCAGCAGAGAAAGCTGCGAAGAAGGCGTCCGCATCTGCAAATAAAAAGAGTTCTGCTGCAAAGAAAAAAGCAGCAGCAGCGAAGAAAAAGAAGGGGAAAGTCATTGACGATGACAACACCCCTCCGTGTTCGGCTTCATCGTCGTCATCCTCTGATGATGATGACGGTGATGATGATGCCGATGGTGATGATGATCGTGATGGTGATGATGATCATGATGGTCATGATGATCGTGATGGTCATGATCATGGTGATGGTGATGACGGGGAACAGGACGGAGGTTCTGAATCTTCTGATGATGAGGACGAGGGGGGCGAACAAGAGGAAGAGAGTGGGGAGGAAGGGGCTGCGGAGGGACAGGACGGAGGTTCTGAATCTTCTGATGATGGAGAGGCTGAGAATTAGGATCTGGCCCACTGCGAACTCGGAGGTTCACTGTTTTGCTGACTATAAGTGATATAACTGACTTAGCAACATTGCAATGGGGAAGCTATTTCGGATGTTGTCTTGTCCCAGGCTGTTTGTGGTTTCTTCGTGATGTGTCCGACAACTTTGACTTTCTGACACAGTGTCCGTCTGCAGTTGTCTGTTTTCATGATGAGGCACTCAAATGCAGTGTTTCTGCATCTACAAACATGAACAGGTGTGTACCGACCGAACAACCCCACCCGCTGCATGAAATTTGATATTCTTGCAATGTCGTAGTTGGCGGTTGGAGTTCAAACTCCAAACTTCAAAGTTGAAGCTTGAAACTCAGTTGAAATTTCACTATTTGTGGTTATCAGTCATATCAGCACAGGTAACACCTCTCGGACCCCTCAGATCCACCTTCAAAAAAAAAAAAAAAATCCGCACGGCCACCCCCTGCTCGGATCTCCGCACGGATCCGGTCTGTGCGGGTGCGGAATGTGCGGAGATCGAGCACCCCCCATACGGATGTCCGCACGGATCCGGTCTGTGCGGGTGCGGCTTGTGCGGTTGCAAGTATGAGTAAGACTACTATATAATAAATGAAACTCTTTTTTGAAATCAGACTTTTCTCAATCTCGCTCGCAACATGCATACACGTATGTACCGATGGCATACCAAGTTCATCAACTCAGAACCAGCAACGAATTTGCACTGGCGACATGCGCCCACACAGAAAACGCAGAGATATGGCCTCTGGCCAGAAACTCACCTCAAGTCAACTGTTACAACTTGCGGCCATGGCCACCGAACACTGTCTGTGGTCCCAACCGAACATTGTCTCTACCATCAGCCTCACTATCACTCACGCGTACACACACGAAGATCCACCCTGAATTTCCACGGCTCACACACACACACCGTACACTCTGTTGACGTCAGCAGCTTGGCGGCTATGGCCGCCGTCGTCTTCCTCAGCTCACTTCAGCTTCGGGCACCTGCAGACCTTCACTGCACAAGTCGCTCCAGCAGTGCTTCAGCATGGCTCACATGCGAGTGAATGAATGGCTGTACGATGCCTCTTTGTTTATACTGTGTCACAGTGGTCTGGTCTGCCCCAGCCCTGGGCCAAAACGCGTGGGCCTGGGGATGTGCCAAAACGTGTGGCCCAGCAGGGCCCAGACAGCATGGGCCTGGAGGGCCCAAACTGCGCGGAACTCCCCCTGGTACTTGCTGACCAGACGGAGTGGACTATCCTGCGTGCTGACTAGACGCAGTGGACAGACCTACGACATTCTAGATCCTACTGTCTGACTGACTCACTACGGAGTGACCTTTGCACTAACAAAGAGCCAGATAGAGACTTCCAGAAGGACCCTAACTAAGACCAACGGTAACATATTAAACTTCTAATACGAAGATCTATGGATCAAGTCCTAACGACAGATTGACAACCCTACTAACTAACCTACAGGGTTTAGGGACAGGGCGTGGGTTCAAATCTCACATAGGGCTACGGGGTCATTGTATATGGTTAGCGGGGAGAGGTGTAGGGATGGAGGCCTAATGTCTGCAACTGTCGGGTAACTGGGTGAAACCGTTTCACTCCCGCTGTCCTAAATTCAAGGTCCTTCGAGACCTCTCTAACTCAAGACAGGACCTTTACCTTTCCTTGCCCTCTTGTGCGAAGCTGGGCTTTCCTAAGGTTTTCGACAACTCTAGCAACTTCCTTCTCATGTTGCAAAGCGAACTCTCTTGTGTCAGGGGGCCTTGTGTAACTCGTTAGGAGTTCGACAAGTAGCTAGGTGCACACTGTTGTTATACGCGGTTCACTTGATCTGGTCTAATGTACATTCTGAGTAAATGCTGTAAGATCTCATTCATCTGCTCTGTCTAACCGTTCGACTTTGGGTGACGGCCTGACTACATCAACAACTTAGAGCTGTATACTTTCATAAGATCTTGCAAGTTCTGTCTAGTAAACTGCCTGTCTCGATCACTAACTATGGACAGCGGTATACCTTTTTTTTTTTTTTTTTTTTTTTTTTTT